CTGTCGTGCGTGCTAAAAACAACAAAAACAAAGGTGGATTAGAAACGCGATAGATTCACCTTTGCACGGAGTACTTACACTCAAAATCGTGTCAACATAAAGCGACTATGGCCCACCTTGCTAGCAGCAATCTTAAAATTTATCCGTGTAGTCGTCGCAGCCGTGCACCAACCGAAAGCGTTGCCGCAAGCCCTTCCGCCGTCAACTTTGAATCGCTGTTGAGTCTGAAGAACTGCTCTATGAGGTCCATATCCAGCCACTGAGCACATACACAAGCACAGGAAATAATACTAGGTTCCAAGTACAAGCGAAGAACCCGGGGCGAAAAGCCCTGAATGCCAAACGATCTGCGTCGGGCGACGGCGGCTGACTGCGTAGTACACAGGTTGCGCTCCTTCGAAGCCTGCATCGCTGCGGCGGGTGGTCGTAGCTGGTCGTAGCAGATCGTGTCACCTCTGTTGCTCGTACCGAAACACTAGAGCCGCGTAATATTCTTGCTGCCGAAGTTTATAAGCCTACGTTCGCGGCACCGCCCAGCGAACCTATCCCCCTCGTTCTCTTTCGGCGACCGGCCGCCAGGGCGGTGACACCGTCGCTGAAACTCCTCAATAGCTTGCTTGACTTCTGACAGTCGAATTGGACAGTTCATAAGGTCACTTGCTTCTTCGGGCACGGTCGGCGACTCATGTAAAATTGACTCGAAGGCGGTCTCGTCCAGGTTTTCCTCCTGAAACAACCTCCCGAAAGCCTCCTCAAACGCGCCCGCTATTTCTTGCTGCGATGTTGCTACGCCCCTCTCGCCACCCTTAAGGTGTTTTCTCTCACCCTCTGTCTCTCATGTGTGCGGAAGATCTTGCAAGGCTGTATTTCCCCCTCAAGAGCCTGCACTCTGCTCCTGACTTGAGCTCCCCTGTAGCGCTCTTTGAGTATACCGAGCAGCTGTCCTTTGCAGTTCTTTATGTCGTCCGCAAACGTTCCAGGGTTTTGCTCCTCCTCCTCTAGAAGCATCCGCAGGGTCTTGGCCAGGTGGATTCGAGTCTCACGTGCCTCAGCAGCCCTGCGACGGCCAAACGCGCAGGCCGACTCCCGGAGATTTGCCTTAAAACTCTCCCAGGTGACCGCATCTACGCCGCTCTCGCCCAGCCTCTCCAGAGCACACCTCGTTTTCCCGACGAACTCCTCGCTCTCCAGGACGCTGGCGTTCATCTTCCATGTTGTGTTGCGTCGCGCTCGCTCGGCCACCGGCGCGCCTGCTCGTAGAACTGTGGCGACGAAGCCGTGGTCCGAGAAGGGCACGATTTTCGCGTCATAGGATTGAACCCCGTCGGATAGCTCACTTGATACATATACTCTGTCCAGCCTGGCCTGGGATGCACCCTGCCATCTGGTAAAGCGCGGAGAGAAACTGTCGAGCACCTGAGTCACGTCCACAAGATCGAAGTCGCGCACAGCGTCGCGAAGCGTATTGGCGCCCACATCGATCCTGGGGACCGTTGATCCGCGCACTCGGTCGCGGCCATTCAGCACACAGTTGAAGTCTCCCCCGACGACGAGCGTCGCGGGGGTCTCGAGCTGTGTACGGAGTCCAATGAAAAAATCCTTTCGCTCTGATGGGTTGCTAGGAGCACCGTTAGGGAAACTCGATTTGACTATACGTTTTATACAAAATACTTTGGCTGCAAATGCAGTTAAGCCGTCAGCATGTTATGCAAAGCACTCGTACATCACTCGCCGTACTTCAGTTCTACTCACCTGCCATGTAGAGTACTTTCGCGTCGTAGAACGATCCTTTTGTTCGCGCATCACCGGCCCAGTAGACCTGGTACACCCTGTCGTCTTCAACTACACCGCTTAAGTCCCTTACATCGTCGGAACTCACAACAGGCTGGGTCTTGTCGAGTAGAAATTCTACTGAAACATAAGACATTGTAGAGCCCGGGCAGGATCGACAGGTTGGAGCAAGCGGGCAAACAAAACGAGTCGAGAGCGATCGTTCATGAAAGCTCGGCGAAGCGAAGCGAAGTACGAAGTATCGTGTTCGGCGCTTCGGCGGGCTTCTGATCAAGGTTGTCGGTCGGTTGCGTGTCATATCTCTAACGTCAGCGGTTTTATGGGCTCACGTCCCAAAATCGTTTTCTAGTGCATAGATTACTTTTCGTATTCATAGATTTGACGAAATAGTGGTATCCGAACGAACTTTACGTCCTTTGACCGTACGTCTGTCTGCACGTCAAAGCTTTCTGACGTACAGTCAGAGACAATCGATGTACAGTCAGAATCACCACCAAGACATCCTGATGGCATTTCGCGGCGGCCGACTGCCACCAGGAAACCATCAGAAAGCCGACAAGCGGGGTCTGACTGGAGTTTGACTGTCGGTCAGAGTAACTTGTTGGCCAATCAGACATGCATGACGTACAGTCAGGCACAGTCAGCGGTCCACTAGAAAACATTGACTGCCGAGCAGGTTTACATTGATGGATTTTTCCTTCGGGCCGTTGTATATATATATAAATAAATAAATAAATAAATATATATATATATATATATATATATATATATATATATATATATATACATCTATAGTGAAGCGCATGTACAGGGTGTATGAATGCCGAATGAGAACACCTTTCTAATAGGGTGCGCTTAAAATAAAGACATTTCTCTTATGTACTGCGTTTATCGACGTCAGAGGTCGTCAGGATGCGGCTGTAAAGCGATAATTATCAAATTATACAGAGTATAGATGACTAATTTGTGAACACAGGCATCCTGCTAAATATTTTATTTTAGCGGGATACGAATTTTAAAGTAAATATATATATATATATATATATATTAAGTTCTTCCTGACTCCGGCCGGACTCCGGCCGAAACGTCGAAGATTAAATCGTCCGTTGTTGCTGTTTTTCACTAAGGCTTTTTTTCTTCTCAGTTATATATATATATATATATATATATATATATATGTATATATATATATATATATATATATATATATATATATATATATATATATATATATATATATATATATATATATATATATATTGCAAGCTGCGCTGTGCAATGCATAGGTCCTATATTTAAAACACATAGTTTCTTTCCGAGGGGCCTTCTCCCTTCCCTTTTCCTGCTTTTTGACTTATTGGAAACGTGCTTGCTATTATGTATTCAATACCTCTCTAGACCCCCCTTTGGGTCCGTGGTTATTTGGTGGTATGGTGTAAAAAACGAAAAATAAATAATTAAAAAATACTAACTTTGCATTTTTAAGTAGCGTCATAAAGATGTTATATTGAAAAGGTTGTTTAAAAAAAAAAAAAGAAGTTTCAAAATTAGAAGCTATTATTCGGAATTTGTTGTAAACAATCCTCGAAAAGTTCAGCTCAAAATTTTGTGACTTCAAAGGAAGCACGACCTGGTAACAGAACAAATTTACGGTTTCTATTAAAACTTTGCTACGAGGACACAGTTTTCGCGAACATACTCTCGATTTGCAAACACAATTATTTATCACAATTTTCAATGTTCCCTCTCATCTTGCAATGTACCGCAACCTAGTCCCTGTGCGATAGGAAAAACCCAGTCGCCGGCGCCGTGTATGCAGTAAGGCCGGTCTTGTAAAGAGTTCAAAAATATAAAAAAATTAGACTAAAAATAATCAATTGGCAGTGCAATTTTCTCCTGGCTACTAAGGTGTTGAAATAGATTATTTGATTAATTGAGAAGAAAAGTGATTGACCATTCAGTGAAAAAGAACTCTTACTTTCGCGATTACCTCAGATTTTCAATACCGCGTATCTTTTTGCCGGTTGGAAAGCGGGCCTTCCTTACTATTATTGCGTCAGAAACACCGGATTCCAAACTACTCATCTTACAAATCTACGCTTTTTTTTTAGACCGTCCCCTTGTTGGACACTTCGTTCGCGGATTACTTGCTAGAAGGTTGCGGAAGCAGAGGGCGCCTTTAGGAAGAGGAGGAAAAATAATAACGAATACAAGTAATTTGATTAGTTGTAAAAGTAATCCATTTTTTGTAATTACTACGTCGTACAGGTAATGAAATGATTACAAAAGTGCTCCAAGAAGTATTCGATTAGACAAAAATTGATTACTTGTGATGAGAGCCGTTCAAGTCTGGCGTAGTGCTAAGCGTACGTTGCCCAGAGGCGCGCTGTGTTTAGCCGATCAAATGAAGAAATGCTCATTCGCTTTCCCCTCCAAATAATATGGACTGGGTTTCGAGAATTCCGCACAGTCGCCTGACACTGGATCGTCAAGTAGGTGTTTTATGTTGTCGTAGACTGTACGCTACTCGGCACCGGAGCGAATCCATAGCCTCGGGCGTGTCACGTGGCCCTCCGGTTAGGCGAGCACCAAGAAGAGCGTGAAATCGAATGTCCTTCGTGAAGCGCTGGGCTGGCGAACATGGCTGGCAGGGTGGGTTGGCATCGTAAGTTAAAACGAAATACTGCACCTTGGATCGGCGATGGGTCTGAACGCAGACTTAGATACCGACGAGAGATTAGTTTTCCAAACTGAAAACAACCTTTCTAAGAATTTATCTCTGCAGCTCAAAGGAGAACGTAGAAGCTAAAGCAAGGCCACAAGCGATTTGACTTACAACAAAAATATTAACTCCAGAAAGCCAAAAAAAGGCGAGAAAACACAACGCGACTTGTTAAAAATACCACTCGTGTCATGTCTTTTGTTCTGACCCCCCCCCCCCCCCCCCCCTTTCCCCACCATGTTGATAACGTGCGCTTTGTCAGTGAACTAAATGCAACTTACCCGACAAGGTTCAAGGGCTTAATTACGTTATTTTCTTGGGCCCGAGAAATTCTGCAGAGGTTCTCACGGCGTTAAGACAATTTTCAATGCAGATATTGACAAACAAGAAACTGATGGTTATTTGTGTAAACTTCAGCGAGCTGATTTAATATTCCTCTATAGGGTGAATGGTAAGCCTGTAGTTGCATCCAGGATTACGCTTGCAGGAGACGAATATAATGTTTGTGGGGACCTTGATCATGGCCATCGCAATCGAGCACTCATGTCTACACCAGCGGATTGCCCTGAGCGCTTTGTGCTTTCTCGGAACCGGAGTGAAAATGTGAGTTCTTTGAATTTTTTTATTTATTCAACCGCATACTCTAAGATATCCGCAGGGTATACTTTCCCTCAAAACACATGGGAGAGAGTCAATGGCGGCAGAGTAAGGAAACGGACAACACTGTATATACGTTCGTATATAAAAATTTGTTCGCGCTGTCACACTCATGGTAAAATGTCTAGCGAAGCGTGACAGCGCCTGACTGAAATATTGCGGAAAAGTAGAGGCTCCAGGCTGGTAGAATGCAATGACCTTATCTTGTATATCGTAGTTTTTATGGATTAAGTTGGGTTGTTTAGCTCTCATCATAAAGCCGGGTCCGGTATAGCAGCAAGCCAGCTCCTCTAGTTGTCCGGTACAGCTTCTGGAAGCCTGTAGTAATTTACGAAGGAAATATATTTTATAATAATAAGATAATTATAAAACCTGGGCGAACCTGAGAGCCCTATTTTTCTACAAAAAATAAAATAAAATAAATAATACATATATACATATTAAGCTCTCAAGTTTTGTCACACTACTATTGCACTGTGAGTATCAAGCGTCAACCCTACATAACTGTAGAATTTCGCGTGCCTACGTTTTGAAACATTTGCTCCGCAAAAGGGATACTACAACGAAATTTCAGTGCTCATTTTTTGGTCTATATCTGTTCAAAGGAGCAGTATCACATCGAACATACCAATATCTTGTTAAAAAAAGTCTCGAAAAGGAATTTTAAAACGAATTATACGATTAGCAAAGAGCACCTGGTGGATGTCGCTAACGCCTCGTTTGTAATGCTCGTCTAGGAACCTTGACAGCTAGTGACGGAGGTTGTCTCGTCTCCGGCCACGACAAGAGAAGGGGGGCAGGAGGAAATCCCCTCTTCCCGAGAATGCCTTTTGTGTGTCGCAGAAGTCGCTATTGTCCCCCTACAAGATTATAGAAGATTAACCCGTCACTCAAAATTCGTACAAAAGCAGCCGCTTCGGTGGCTGGAACGACTAGGCCATCCTCTCGACGTCAGCCTCGCCATAGCTTTGCTTGTCCCAAGACGACCTACGTCATGATTGCGTTGGATGTCACGTGGTCTCCACTGGGCCTTTCCCGAGCGCTTGCCAGAGTTGGCCATTTAAAACGAAAAATACAGCCACCAGGCTCAAAATAGAAACATGCGATTGTCTTTTACGGATATTGTGGATCATATTCAACCTATTTCTGAACACGACGGGAATATTTCAAATTTCGTTGAAGTATCCCTTTAATATGGCAATATAGGTCGGTATTAATGATAGGTCGGTATTGATGAGAGAAAACTTAGAGTTTTAAACAAGTATTTTTTTTTTCGTCCTGCTGTTATGCGATGAAAGACTTTTGGAAAAAAATGGCTAATACTTTCATAGTAATCCGCCCAGACAAATTAGATTAGTTAATTTAGAAAGTACGGATGCCCTTAGCACAGTAAGAGTTACTGAAATTTGTTTTATGTTGTAGCGCGAGAACCAAGCGCTGAGCTAGTAGCGCGAGGGGCTTTGACATCAAGCTCGTGACATGGGCCGCGTTCCTCTCGCGTACGAGACATTATAATACATCTTTTCCTGTTATGGCTGCGTTTATTTACACTATGTACAGTTAAGTCGAAAAGAAGCTAGCCATTGCTCATGGCGTTTTGGAATCAGACTGTCTCTGCTATCGCGGGTGCGCGCGTGCTTTTCTTGAGCCTCGTCTTCGTCTTTCTTGACCGCGATATATATCATATCCCCCTTCTTGATTAACACCCAGTACGTAGTCCTTAAAGTGTGCTGGCGACCCCCTCGGGTAGTCCTTGAACCGGGGTCTGCTTGGACGTCCGCGTTGTCGTCCACGGTGTCTCTGTCCTGGACTTCAGCATTATTGTCCATGGTGCCTCTGTCCTGGACGTCAGCATTATTGTCCCCGGTGCATCTGTTCTCGGGCTGGGTCATTTGTGACTCGTCTATGTCCTCCGTGGCTGGGTAGATTAAGAATGGCGAAGCTTCTTCTTTGCCCTCTAGAGTTTCCAAGTGTGATCTTCTGGGGCGAATATGATCAACGTGTCGCCGCTGAAGTTTTCCGTCCTCCGTTCTTGTTTGATAGGATCGAATACCTAGCGGTCTCATGATTACCGCGGTAACCCATGCTGGTCTTCCACCGAAATTTCTCACGTAGACGGTTTGGCCTGCCGAGTAATCTGCCGTTACTCCGTCCGTCGGAGCTTCTCGGTCTTCGCTTGTCGACGAGCTTTGATTCATGAGATCGAGAGGTGTGGAGATCCGTCGGCCGAACATTGCTTCGGCGGGTGTTTTCCCCGTGGAGGTTGAAACTGTCGTATGCTGCCTGAACAAAAACCTGGCGATTCTACACTGGATTGTTCCTTCCTTGAGTTTCAGGAGGGCCTTTTTTGTTTCGCCCACCATACGCTCCGCTTGCCCGTTTGTGGCGGGATGATATGGGGCGCTGGTGTAGTGTTTGATGCCGTTTCTCGTTACGAACTCGTCCATTTCGTTCGACACGAAATTTGGCGCATTGTCGGAGAAAAGGATTCTGGGTACTCCAAAAGTTGCAAAGGTGGAGGGAAGGGCGTCGATGATGCGTGTAGACGTCGTGGAGTGCATCGGCTTCACCTCCAACCACTTCGAGTAAGCGTCAACGACGACGAGGTACGATATCCCGTCGATTGGTCCGGCGAAGTCGATGTGAACGGTCTCCCAGGGTCGAGTGGCAGGTGACCAGTCAGGCGTTGGTACCGTAGACTTGGCCCGATGATGTTATTGGCACGTCTCACACGCAGCTGCGGTTGCTTCGATGTCTGCGTCAAGCCTTGGCCACCAGAAATGGCTCCGAGCAGTACTTTTCATGGCAACAATACCCGGGTGGTTGGCATGCAGCATTTTCAAAGCTTGCTCGCGTGCTGCTTGTGGTAGAACAACACGTGCCCCCCACGTCACACTGCCGTTGTGTGTCGCCAACTCGAGTTCTCTGCGCTTGTACGGTGCGAACTCGTCTCCTGTCCAGTTTGTGGTGGTTCCGTCTTGTAGTCCTTGGTAGACTTTTGACAAAACGGAGTCTTCCTTGGTCAGACGCGCAATGCGTTGACCCGTCAAGGGTGGGCACTCCATTGCTTCGAGCATAAGTACATCTCCTGGTGGTGCGGCTTCGTCCTTCATAATTGGCAGTGGTAGACGGCTGAGTGCGTCCGCGTTCTGGTGCGCCTTGCCTTGTCGGTTACGCAACTCGTAGTCGTAACAGCCAAGTAGAAGGCACCATCGGGTCATGCGTGGTGACAGCATTACCGGAATCTGTCGACCTTGGCTCATTATCCCCAGAAGTGGCTTGTGATCGGTGTACACGGTCACTTGTCGCCCGGCAACGTACTGGTGGAAATGCTTCATGCCGAAGATGATGGCTAGTCCTTCCTTATCCAGCTGAGCGTAATTACGTTCGCTTTTGCCCAGTGTTCTGGATGCGTAGGCAATTGGAGCTTCTTCTCCGGCGTCGTCCAGCTGCGAAAGAACTGCCCCAACACCGTATGGTGATGCGTCGCAAGACAAAACAAGTTTCCGCTTGTCGTCATAGTGAGCGAGCAGGGGTGCTGAACTGAGCAGCACCTTCAGCTCTTTGAAAGCCTTGTGCTCTTCGTTCCCCCAGCGCCACTTGGCGTCTTTGTCAAGCAGTCGATGCAGCCTTTCGGCGGTGGATGCCCTGTTCCGCAGAAAACGACTGTAGAAGCTCAGCATTCCAAGAAAGGCTTGGAGCTCCTTTTTGTTGCTCGGTTCCGGGGCTTCCGTGATGGCCTTTACCTTCTCGGCGGTTGGTCTCACTCCATTAGCGTCAACGTGGTAGCCTAGGAATTCTATCGCTGGAACCCCGAATTTGCATTTGGCTTGGGAGACCCGAAGTCCGGCTTCCGCGAGGCGTTGCAGAACGGCTTTCAAGCGTTCTAAGTGTTGCTCTTCAGTTGCCCCTGTGACCATTATGTCGTCAAGGTATGCTCCCGTGCCTTCGATGCCTGACAACAGCGTGTCCATGAACTGTTGAAACAGCAAAGGCGCAACCGAAATTCCGAAAGGAACTCGTTTAACGCGAAAGAGCCCCATCGGTGTCGTTACAGTCAGTAACTCTGCTGTGGCGTCATCCACTCGCAATTGCTGGTACGCTTGTTGCAGATCTATCTTCGAGAAGATCTTTCCTCCCCGTACGATGGACAACAGGTCTGGTGCTGTGGGAAGCGGATATGCGTTTGCCTTGAGTGCTGGGTTGACCGTGCACCGATAGTCCCCACATAGCCGTAGTGTACCGTTCTTTTTTCGGACGATGACTAAGGGTGTTGCCCAGGACGACGAATTTACCGGCTCCAAAATGTTCTGGGCCTGAAGCTTGTTCAGCTCTTCATGTACTGCTGTTCGCAGAGCGAAAGGCACAGGTCGACTCTTCAAGAATTTCGGAGCTACGTCCTGCTTGAGGTCTATGTGTAGCGGTTCGCCGACATGACCATCGAGCTGTCCTTGGAACACTTGCTCATGGGTTCTTAGTAGATCTTCCAGGGTTGTTGAAGACATTGAGTATACGCCGGAAACCTTGATGTTCAACGCAGGAAACCAGTCCCGACCAAGCAGACTTGCTCCCTTTCCGTTAACCACGTAGAGGTCCAGACGAGTGTCTTTGTCCTTGAATCGTACGTTGACCGGCACCTTGCCTGCTAGTTGCATCTTGTCTCCAGCCCAGACGCACAAGGAGATGTCGCAAGGTTCTAGCTTAGGAGGTCGTCCCTGCCAAAGACATTTGTATGTTTCGGAGCTGATTATGGAGTGGGAAGCTCCGGAATCCACTTCCATGTCGAGGTGTCGTCCGTTCACGAGTAGCTCCGCGACGACCCGCGAGGTGTCTCCCTGGGTAACGCTGTTGACAGCAAAAAGATCACCATGCGTCCCATACTCTGTTGCGTCCGCGTGATGCGTGCGACACTTCGATTCCTCTTGGGACTTGCGCTGGGCTCTGCG